GAACATCACACTTCATCATTAATTGTTCGAACTCCATAGTATATTCTTCCACAGTCAAAGATTTTTGCTGCAAGTTATGAAATTTAACAAAATTATCTTGGTAGTAACGGTCAGGTAAAAACTTACGAGTGAGTTCCCAACGCATTTTCTCCCAAGTTCTAATTTTGTTGCGGCCTTCTCTTTCTCGACTACGTTTGAGATTCTCCCACCAAATGGATGCATGCTTCTTTAATTTGATGGCGACGATCTTCACACGCTTGTCGTCAGGAATATCCTTGAGTTCAAACACACGTTCCACAGTGTGCAACTAGTCGATAAATTCATCTAGTTGAAGGTGACCTTCAAAATCTGGAATATCGATTTTGATGCCAAGGTTAGTGGATTTGGGAGCAGCATTTTGTTGGGGACGTCGTCGACGACGAACTTTTTTTGTTGATGATGAGCTTTCATTATCCCTTAGGTGATGGAAGGGATTCTCGTCGTCAGTATCTTCTTCTGACTCATGTGGTTCGTCTTGCGGGTGTTGAGCTTGCTATCCCTCAAAAGCTTCGAGTCTTTCTTGAAGCCTTTGAATTTGTTGACGTAGTTCTTCCATTTCTATGTCCCGAACAGCTTGTTGACGAGGAGGATTTTGTCTTCTAGGAGGCATGATGAGTTTAGGTTGGTAAGGGCTTTTTGGAAAGTTAGTATTTGAAAGTGGGGTAATTTGAAAATTTATAAAATTATGGGATCAATCTGTATGGTCAAAATAAGTTGAGGGACTTGATGACGTGGCAAAGAATGCGGCTGCGGTGATGACGTGTCAAGTGACGTGGCAGATGACGTGGCAAATGGATGATGTGACAGTGACTGGATGATGATGTGTCAAGTGACGTGGCACAGATGACGTGGCAAAATGGATGATGTTGCAGTGACTGGCTGATGACGTGGCTGATGATGTGGCGAATGAGAGGTTGAAGATGACTGGCGCGTGAAATTCACACGATTTGCAGTGGTGCGAGTGGTCGGCACGTGAGGCAACGGCGGTGGCGCGTAGAGGTGCGTGTGACCTTGTTTGTTGATCGGATTTTCACCAGAATGCTCAGAATGACGTGCAGACTCCAAATATGTTGGCTCTGATACCAAATGGCGTAGGAGCCGATACCGAAACACCGATTTTGGCGAGATTTAGAATCCCACTACGATGAACTCGATTGCCAGGTTCACCACTTAGGTTGGCAAGACCTAAGATATAGAGATAAATTGAGAGAATCCACTCTCAAGAAACTCAACTCAAAATAGAGGAGAATTGAAATTTCATTAACTGATAAAACTTATGCATACAATGGTGAGAGCATGGCTATTTATAGGCAAAATCTACTAAAAGGCAATAAATGAAAAGTAAAATGCAGTTGGGAGTTAGCAGTTGGAATTAATGGCTATGTTGACAAAGTTGCCAACCTATTGTGGTGTTGCAGTGTAGCTTCTGCATGCTTGTAGGTACTTTCTCCCGGTGCATAAAGTAATTCACCTACAGCTAGTCTTCTTATTTTCTCTTTTGGGCAGGCATTGGAATCTTGGTCTGTGGAGCTTTCAATCTTTTATTATGATTTTTGGCCCAGAAACAAAAGACGCATATGTGAAAATCAAATACAGCAACCACATCAGAAACAAAATACAAACACGCAACCACAAAACAAAAAATGCTTGACTACATAGAAGGTGGTGCAGGCAGCCCATCCTTGTTAAGAATGCCAACCAGATTCATTGGGGGAACTCGAATCCAATTCAAAGGACATTCCTACTTTCTGCTATGAATAGCTACCCAATCCGTGGCCTTGTATGAGGATAGAGTTGAAGTATAAGTTCACGTGGAGTTGAGAGTTGTGTATAAGATCCCATAACGAAGAGAAACAAGATGCTGAAGTACAATATATATGCGCAGGTGGCCGTCCCTCTCATGCGTGCGCTAGGCTATCTTCCTATTCTTCTTCCTTCTTCTGGGCGATAGCTTCTTTGCCCGCTTGTGCAGGCATCCAACTCCCGCGAAGAGCAGTATAATGAGCATCATAACCAAAGAATATACACGAGAAATAAACGCATAGCCGAACCACATATTAAAAATGAGCAAACTTGCTAGCATTCCCATTACAGAACTTGGGGGGCAGGATATGGACTTGGGCATTGCTTGACAGTTTGTTCTAAACAAAATGTAAACCCAAAAGAGGTGGAAACCCGCCACCGTTAAATTTTGGATTCTTCCTCCGGTACTCCTATCAGTGAGCTGTGACTGATCTTCTCCCACCTCCAACCGATTCAGCAGTGGCTGATCTTCTCCCACATCCATCTCCAACCAATTCTTGTCTAGCCAGAACCTAAAAACCAATAGTGGAAAACAGATGGCCACAACTATCCAAGTTTGAAATTTGAGTCCGAAGAGATTGTAAGCAACTGATCCAATGACTCCAATTAGAAAACCGAACAACCCAAGGTCGGTGGAGGGTCGGATTATGACCAGTAGGATTAGAAAGAAAACAGTGATGCTGAAGGCAAAACCCAGACTACTCAAGGATTTCTCATAAAATTTCTCTAAAACAATAGCTAAAATCAAGCAGATGAGATTTGCTATTGAATTTACCTTGGTGTCACACTTCTTATGGATGAATCTAAGATCATTCAGACGCCTCGAATTCGATACCAGAATGGCTATGATTTGGTAAGACAAAGCCGTTTTGAATCCGGTGCGATCATGTTCTGCGCATAGCTTGGTATTCCACACAAAAATTGTTGCAATAAACAGAGCAATCTGGGCGAAGAGAATGGCTGATCGTGAACCATTCTTCGCGTCTTTGTGTAGATGCGTCTTCAGAGCTTCGAATGGATTCTTCATCTTTTGTAGGATGCAGCAAATAATATTGCGAAGAGAAATCACACAAGATAAAAATTCAATTGATTTGATCAGAGAACAAATGAGTTTTGGTAGAAAATATTTTGATCAATTTAACAGATAATATCGTATTATAGAAGTAAGAAGGAAACTTCTGTGCACTGTCATGGAAGGAAGAAGGAAACTGCACTGTACTTTTGCGCAAGTCGTCATGCGTTCAAACTTCATACCGCGTGTTCTAGAAGTCGTCGCCTTGGCGCCAGCTCTAATCTAAAAGATCTGTTGAAACAGAATAAAAAAAAAATTATTCTGTGTTGATATCGTGGCTTCACATTGTAAATTTTTTTTTTTAATAATTAGTAATTATTTACAAGTTAATTAGAAGAAAAAAAAATTGATATTTGAACGTATAAATTTACTGGAGCTGAACGATTCTAAACTAGACTCCAATACCACTGGCCGGAGCATACCGTTCCATATTGTAAACTTAATAAAGTCCTTTTTAAAACTTTTTTAACACCTTGAAGTTGATGAGAACTGGATCTCATCCGGTTCAAATAACTCTTTTCACACTGCATCTGTCTTTTCGGAATTCAATTACTCATTTAACGTCCTTTCCTCATCGGGCCGATCAAAGCCCTTTTTCCTTTCTTCCTCACCGATTAATCTGTCTTCTCTTCTCTAGCTGCCCCTTCGTTCTTCGATGATCTTATCTACAGAATCCAGTGTATGCGAGCCATATCCATGGGAATATACATGATGGCAACGGATCTGAAGTGCCGTGGGACTGAATTCTTCCTCTACGTGCTGGGAAGAGTGGGGCTGGTTGCCTTTGCTGGGTTGAGGGTTTCTTTGACACTAGGTCTATGTCTCTGGGCCTCGTTGACCTACAAGTCCTCATCGAACCCGGCCGTCCCCAAGATTGTATCCATGTCGGTACTCTTTCTTTTTTGCCTTTTTTCTTTTTTTTTTGAACAAGGGGGGATTTTTTGGGGAAGGGAAAATATTACGACTGTCCACTAGGGACTTGAGCCTTGATATGAGTCAAGTGTTTGATGCACATTGCAGCCCGCCAGGGGCCTGCTAGTGCTTTTGTTTTGCCCTTTTTTATTGTTCATGACTAGGAAATGGAAAGCTCATAATGATTTGGGTTTGCACAATTTAGTAAAATTAAGGGCATTTGACAGTGTCATTGATAAGTGGAAATTCTATTATAACTTTTCTTTTTAGATCATATTGTGTCATGTTAGTTCTTTACTGTAATTCTCATCTGTTTCTGTCCAGTTCCACTTATTCCATTTTCTTTGCTCATGTATTCTCCTCATTTGTCTAGTTTGCTTATGTTTTTAGACATTTTATGCTTCACTTTTTAATTGTTTACATGGTCCTGTTTATTACTGGGATCCAAAAGGTAAAAGAGAAACAAGGCTGATACGAAGGAATGTCATCCACAAGCAACTTAGTCAGAGCCTCTGTTCTGTGAATGGGTGCTTATCTGATGACCCAAATTTGAGGTCAACTGAATTTACATGTCTTGAATCTGTTCCTGGAACCCATTGTTCTCTAGAACACGTACTCAGTTTTCTATAGGTAATTTTATGTATTGTTTTTCATTTCTTCTGGAGTCATATGAGTTTTAGAATTTTTTGTAAACTTCACTTATATCTCTCTATTATAAAATTTAGGTGTTTAACTTTTAGTTATGCTATTTTGGTATATTAATAAGAAAAAAATCAAGTTTGTATGCCGGGTTTACCATTGTTGGTCCATATACACCTGTGGCCAAACCATTGCTTCTGTTTTGGATACCTCCTAACTGTTAAATAGATCTCCTTTATGTAATATTACAAATGATATGTAATTGAATAAAGTTTTTTTGAATATTCAGTTGTTTTTTTATGCATATATACATTTGTGTTTATATATTTATGTTTCTTCAGTTTGATGTCCTACTGTGTAAGTCGGTCTATTTGTGTAATAAGAAATCAACATTGGTATATTAATAAGAAAACAAGGTGAAATATTTCACCAATCTTCTAGCGAATATTTTATATGCACTTCTATTCTTATCTTCAGACTTTAACAAATTCACACAATTATTGTTAAGATGTCTCCCATTTCTTGAAAATTGTTAAAGTTAGAACTGATGTTAAATTCATAAATTGGCTTGGTTTAGTGATTTAGTGCTCCTTTTAAGTTGAAAATTTTCCTAATGATGGTCTTTTATTTTTGTTACTTCAAGAGGCAATTTGGCCTCACAGTAGTGACTATCTACTTGCAAAAGAGAATTTCAAGGACTCCCTTTCATTTCTTTGGGAGAATAATGCAGATCTTACTATGTTAAGATTAAGAAAAAATAAAATAAAATGTTTTTTCTGCTCTTTGTATCATTATCAGTGGAATCAGATAAATGCAATGTTGGTTAAGTTGCAAAATCTAATAGGAAAAAGAGAAATCATTGAAGTTGAACCTTGAGCAGGTAATTGTTGAATCCATTTTGCTTTTCTTTCTTTTTCTTATTATAAGTTTATGGCTTATTATGAACAAATTTGATGAATTTCCAGAAAGTGAAGCTCATTCTTACAATTTGCTTCATCTGACTTTTCTTTGAATTATTTAGTCATGTTTTTCTTATTCTCATGTTTAAGAAATTTGGGGATTTTCATTGTTAAATAGTCTATGTGATGAATTCTAGCATATATATACCTCTTGAATTTACAGGTCATTGATTGTTTTCAATTAATTTGTTCTTTAGAATACAAGCCTCAGCTATGAATGGAAAACAGCTTCTGTTTCTGGCAGAAAGTGTCTCTGAGATGCTGAAAAACCTCCATTCTATCTGTTATTGGTAATTTTTGTATTGGTTATTTCTGTCGATATAATTAACAAACATATTTGTGTGTCTTAGATTCTGATCTCCTTTTGGTGTGGTTCCTTTTTTGTTTTTCCTTTTGGAGGATTTTTAAGAGCTTCAAGGTAGAGGAAGCAAGAGGAGAGATGGGATCCTTTCAATGTTTTTACATTTTTGTATGCTTTTCCTTCTTTGGTTTTCTTTATTTGATTTTTTATTTTCTTTCTGTTGTTTTTGGAATAAAGTTTTTAATGAGAGGTGGGATCAATTTTTTAATTTTTGTATGGTTTTGATTTTGGCTATGTATGGAAACTTGGAATAAACTCTTGGTTGTTCCACCTATGTTAGTTAATTCCACCTTTTTTATAAGCTATACATCCATTGTTGGAAATTTCATTTTTGTTTATGTTAAAGTTGTACTTGCAGGTTTTGTTCTATGAAATTGAATGTTTTTATAATCATTCATTTATCTTCTATCAAACATAATAGAGTTGGATTATATTCTTTTGTACAGGTTGAAACACGAGTACTTTTACTTAGCCTTGATCCAATGTGAGACAAAGGTTGAAAAACTTCTCTACCTTGAGGTTAATTTCACATGTTGATCTTTCTAAATACATTGTTCTTATGTTGCACTTTAATACGTTAAGTGGTGGCTATTACAAGGAAGCAATGTGGTTTTTTTAGTTGCTTATCCATAAAACCCTGGAAGTCACTTCGTACACTTGAAAATGAACTCATAGAATGACAAAACTCAGATTTAGAGATCCTAAATTACATATTTTTAATTAGCTTTAATTCCATTGGTACAAAACGTGAATAATGATAAAAAAATATACAAATTTAAAGGATAAGCAAATGTGAGATTTAGCTTTGGATGTGTAGAGATCAGGTCTGGTCTTTTGGAAATGATTAATGAAAGATCACATTCGAACTGTTTCTTACTTTTTCTGTCAAATCTAATTTTGTAGGTTGTTAGGCTTTTTTCACTGTTGAGTTTGAGACAGAGTTTTGGAGTTTTGGGTCCTTATGAGTTATGACATTGAAGGACATTTTATGTTATGATATTTAAGGGTTATCTCTACCTTACGAAAATTTCTGCCTTTACATATGGGCTGTTTTATGTCTATTGTATTGCATTGATAGTTTGCGATAGTATCATTACGGACGTGTTTAATCTTCTTTCATTTTGCTTAGGTGAAGCTAATATACCTTGGAATTTCCAGATCTAGATAGCATTTTTGGGTTTCTTTTAATTTATTTTATTATCAAAAGGGTTTTCTGAAAAGTGTTTGTCATGTGCTTCCTTTTTTGGCTAGAATTTATTGTGTGCTTCCTTGAATCCCATATTTTGCATTTGGTTTGTTTTTAATTTATTTTAGATTTCCATTCGAATTCTACTATTTGGATAGTTTATTGATTTGATTTGATTCCGTTTTGAATTACAGTCTAGAGTGTTGTTTTGGATAAAAAAATGGTGGTTTCTACCCTGATCACACCTAGACAGGTACTATTTAATTACGAGTTTAGAGTGTAATTCTGTTTTTCTGTAATGCTGACTTGATGCTTAATGAGTTGTCTAGTGGATTCATTTTAGTAGTTTTGAGTGCTTAGAGTATTCATTTATATTTTGTTTTGAGATTTTAAGTTTAATTAATATAGTTATGTTGTTCTATATTTATTCAGCATTTTTCCCTCTTATTTGAATAAATTTCTGCTTTATTCCTTTTTAGTTGAAGAAATTTTGCCAAAACATTTATGTTGCAGCTATATTACTTGGAATTTACTCTTAGTATTTATGATTCGGCTCTTCTGTTAACTCTGTACTGTAGACTTCTATTGTTCTACTCTCAACATGGCTGCAAGTCAATATGTCAAAATATGTAATCAAATAGAATATATTATCAATTAATTATCTTTATTATTGATAAGAAAAAATTAAGTACCTTCATGAAGTATGTTGGTGGCTGTGATCACAAGTTCTTAGCGATTTGAATAAATTAGACCATTTGCTATTTTGGTTCTTGAAAATTTCTGATGTTATATATTTCACTTGGCTTACAATACGACGTGTTGTTGTGATGGTACTCGGGGAAATATTGGACATTAATAATCAATGCAACCTTTGACACGCTCCAATGTGAAGTAATCTACTATGCTTTTAGTTAATCTTTCGTCCTCTTCTAATGCATTTTCCTTGCTGTTTTCTTATATCCAAGTATTCTCCCTTCTGTGTGTTCTTGTGGTAGGGTTCTGTGTCTTCTTATGGCAGGGGTGCATTTCAAAAGGCCCAAAGTAATTGACCGCATGGTATGAGACTTTAAATGGAAAGATGAAAGGATTGTGGATGTGAAATATTTCAGAGATGTTTAATTTCGAAATTCAATATTTATACTGATGTCTCTTTTCTGTTTGGTCTTGGTACTGTATTTGACCAATTGGACATGGCCCCTAATTATGAAGTTTTACATCTTATTTGGAGCTTGAAACTATGTTTTATGGGAAAGTAATCAAGGGCTTTTCTTTAATCAGTATTACTCCCAATGTCATGATTTTGAGAGTTCAAATTTGTTTAATTGGTGGTAGTAAATAGGATGTTTGCTTAAGGCTTCAAATAGCTCAATAATCAAATTTTTAGAAATATAATGAAGAATATCAACTTCCTGTTAAGTTTTAACATCCTTTATATTGTATTTATTTGTTTTTCATTCTTTCTCATGTTATTTTGCATTGTAACATTTCATGGAGGTATGGGTATTATCTAAATTGAAACTACATTCTCACATCTTATTTCATAGTTTCAATAACTCAATAATTAAACTTTTAGAAATGTAATGAACATCAATCTAACATTAAGTTCTAGCATCTTATATATTGTATTTTTTTCATTTTTCGTTATTTTTCATGTTATTTTTCATTATAATATTCTTGTATGAGGCATGGGTATTATCTAAATTAAAGATATATTAACCCCTGTGCTTTATCTTTGCACATTACTTTCCCTTTTTCCTTTTATAATCATATTAAAGATGCATTCACACATCTAAAAGTGATTGAATTTGATGAAAACTTTACCAAGTTATCATTGAAGACATATTCCTAAACCTCAACATTTATATTGCCAGCAGCACTTTGAAAAAGCATTTTTGCCAATGAAATAAAAAAAAAAAAAAGGTAATTGTTTTGCTATGATCATCAATAAAATGTTAGATTCTCTTATGTTGGAATTTACCTTCTAAGTTCTGCATTCAGTCATGGTTAGTTGTATATTACACGGACTTTGTTCATTTCAATATTTTTAGGTCACATTGTCTACTAAATCATTAATAAATATTATATATAGTTTGAACAGTTAATTAAAAATTTTAAGTTATGATATGGATTATGTTAACTAATAAACTCAATATTTGAAGGACTTCTTAATTACTGTTTTTTAAATCATTATGCATGTATTTTTATTACTATAATTCAATTTTAATAATTATAGTATTTGTTTTATTAATATATCAATTTTATATTAAATTTTTAATTTCATTATTTATTTATTTTTATTTTATTTTATTACTGGCGCCGGCATTGCTTGGGGTATCAATTAGTTATTTGAATTTGAAACATTGAAAATTGGAAATTCATCTTTTAAATAACAACGCGGCATGAATAAATATAATATAAACAATTTAAAAATTGAAAACAATTAATTAAATTCTAAAAAAAATTCAAATAAAGCACCCCTTAAGGCCTAATATAATTTAATCTACTTCTTTTTTTAGCCCAATTTAATTTGTTCCAAAGGCAGGTCTCTTTTGCTCTAACTCCTCCCATTACTTCTGCATTGCTTCCTTGAGACCATGACGAGGCACAATAGTGATGTTGGACTTCTTGTTAACTGTTCCTTCGAAGATTAGAAAAAACAATAACCTACCGTTGAGCCCATTGACCCAACTGCTTGGATATGGGCTAGGCTCTGATTCCCTTCCTCAATTCATAAAAGGGGAAAAAGTCGCATATCCTAGTGATCCTCTGTTTTTCTAAGGCAATTAATGGGTTGGATTTGTTCGATATGAAAAATTAATGGGCCTTAAAGGAGCCCCATTGTTATTTTAGTATGAAACAGACCTAACAAAATTCAATAGTTAAAATTACAGAAACGGGCCTTCCCCTTGTCTTGTCTTCTAATCATTATTTTAGTATGCGATTAATGGGCCGGATTTGTCCACTACTTTGTTGTTGTCATTAGTCTCAACGTAAGGTTATTGTAGCTATTTTCCTTTACCTCCGGTTTTAAACGGGGGTATGGGTTCCTACGGCTTTTTACCTACAAAATTCTAAACCATACATAAAAATAGGATCACAAAGTGTAGATGGTTATTTATAGTTACATGGATGATTACTTATGTACTTCTATGCATAGTTATAATATTTAGGAGGTCTATAGATATGCCTTTAACAATTTGGCTACAATTTTATATATAGCTATATGGCGATTTTGTTGTTGTGGAGGGTTGTATTGTGACCAATAGGATTTTATAAAATATCTTAATGCTCTAGGTGAAACTTAGACCATTAAACGGCTTACAAAATGATGTAGAAAGACACCAATGATAAGGTGCTAAAATTTTATAACATTTAATTACATTTAAGTCGACTCAAACGCCTTGAATTAGATACTAGAATTGAAGTTAACCTGATTTGTCTTGCAAAAAGTGTTGCGCTCAAGAGAGCAAATTGGGCAACATAAAATGACTGATGGCACAAAGTCTTTGAGATGCATCTTTGGATCTTCAGATACAATCTTCATCTTCCTTAGGATCTCTATGAGAAAAGATGCTAGGGAAGCTACGAACGAATGATATACACGAGTGATAAGAACAAGGGCAACCCATAGACACAAAATGACAATGCACATAAGCATTGCCATTAAAGAAACTAAGGCGCAAGATGTGGAATATGAATTTGGCCCGTTTAGATTGACTGTTGGTTCTAAACAAATTGTACTTCCAAATGAGGAAGAAACCTACCATTGTTACTGCCTTGATAATACGTAGGATAATGATTGGTACTCCATTCGATTCAACACTCCTAATAACACCCACTAATTCAATCATTAAGAAACTAATATTTTTAAATTTGAATTCAAGGAGGAAGGAAAATTTTCAAAGATAAATTTGAATGATTGAACCGATGAGTGTTGTTAAGTGTATTCAATTGGAAAGTGTACCAATCATTTTCCTAATCTCTAATGTTAAAATTTGGTTGCTTCCTTAGGTGCCACTAGTAGTAGGGAGTGACTGATTTTCTTATCTAACTAGCACTTAAAACCCAATAGCAAGATTCAAATGGCCCCAACTATCTAAGTTTCAAATTTAAATCTAAATAGATTACAAGCAACTGATCTTGAGACTTCGATCAGAAAACCAAAGAACCCAAGGTCGGTTGACAGTTGTATCACGAACAACAGCATTAGAAACAAAACCACAATGCTCAAGGCAAAACCTAGACTACTCAAGTATTACCCATAAAACTTCATACAAAAAATCCCCTAAGGAATGCAGTTGAAATTTGCTATCAAATTTACCTTGGAGCCACACCTTCCTCTGAGGAATCAAGTTGACTCAAGCACTTGGAATTGGATATTAGGATGGCAAAGATATGGTAAGACAAAACCGTTTTGATTCCAATTCTATCATATTCTGCATATAACCTAGTTTTCTACACAAATAATTTTGTGGCAAACAAAGTAAATTGAGCAAATAGAATCACCAATGTTGCTATGAAAGTTGTGCATATGAGTTCAACACAAGGCTTGCATCCAATCTAAAACCAATTGGCAATAGGTGGAGTGACTTTCCTTGTATTTAACCCACAAGCTTCTTATTTTTAAACTCGACGTGGGATTTTCCTACTTAACACACCCCCTTATGTGCAGGCCCACTATGAATGTCAAGTTCTGTCACGTGGGTTAACACGCCCTCTTAAATGCATGCCCGATATTTTCACTTTTAGGTCTTGTTAGGTGGGTTAACAATGGGCTTCCCAGGATAGAATTTGGGCTTTCATACCATGTGAAATTGTGCACGTGGGCTCAATACAAGGCTTGCATTCAACCTAAAACCAATTGGCAATAAGTGGAGTGGTTTTCCTTATATTTAACTCACAAGCTTCTTATTTTTATATTCAATGTGGGATTTTCCCACTTAACACGCCCCCTCATGTATAGACTTGCTATGAATGTTAGGTCCTATCACGTAGGTTAACACGCCTTTTAAATGCAAGCCTAGTATCTTCAACTTCGGGTCTTGTCAGGTGGGTTACCAATGGGCTTCTCAGAACAGAAATCTGGACCTTGATACCATGTGAAAATTGTGAATGTGGGCTCAACATAAGACTTGTCACGTGAAGGGGCGTGTTAAGTGGGAAAATCCCACATCAAATATAAAAATAAGAAACTTGTGGGTTAAATACAAGAAAGACCACTCCACCTATTGCCAATTGGTTTTAGGTTAGATGCAAGCCTTGTGTTAAGTTTATATGCACAACTTTCACATGATATCAAAGCTCAGATTTTATCATGGGAAGCCCATTGTTAGCCCATTGTTAGCCCACTTGACAAGACCCAAAGTTGAAGATACCAGGCCTGCATTTAAGGGGGCGTGTTAACCCATATAATAGAACCCAACATTCATAACGGGCCTACACGTGAAGGGGCATGTTAACTGGGAAAATCCCACATTGACTATAAAAATAAGAAGTTTGTGGGTTAAATATAAGAAGTTTGTGGGTTAAATATAAGAAAGTCACTCCACTTGTTGCCAATTGGTTTTAAGTTAGATGCAAGTCTTGTATTGAGCATACATGCACAAGTTTCATAGTTGCTATCATATTTAAAATCGTAGATCTTTCAAATTCAACCAACAATCAGTTTTGATGAAATCCAGATTTTCGCATCCTTGATTTATGATTCATGATTTGTGTTCCTGTTTAGCCTGATTTTTGTTAGATTGATATTATGTTAAATGCCCTAAAATTGTTTGATGAAATGCCTAAGCCACTAACATTAACTCATTTGGTGTTTTACTTGTCTATATGTCCCAATTACTTTTGTTTACAGAGTTTTTGATGAAATTTTAAAACTAGTAGTTTACTTCTAATCTATGTGAAGAGCGGATTAATGGGAAATTGTTTGTTTCTTTTGTGGGTTATGCCATAGATTGTTAATAGATTTAGCATATCACATATAGATGACTAGCTCGTTACTCTATAAGAGGGTTTTCTAGTTGAATGGTAGTCTATGTGCTTTATTGCTTAATGTTTCGAGGGTTATGGTGGATGGTTTGCCTAACTTTGACCAGGTCGATTGGTACTATTGAAAGTTAGCATGAGGAGTTTATTGCATCTAAATGTTCTTTTAAAAATGATGATCTTTTTTAACTTTATTGCTTTTATTTATGCATCTATATTCTAGGTGTTGTAGCTTGCCCTTGTTCTACACTTACCGGCCACGCCATCTGCTCCTCTCCCTGTGGCCAGTCTACAACAGAACTCGCCCCTTATGCTACCATTAACGTAGGTTCATCATGACCCTGCCCTTGTGCAGCAATTATTCTCCTCGTAGAAAGTGCTGCAGGTTCAGTTTGGTACAAAAAATACACACGAGGAATAAGAGCAAGGCTGAACCACAACTAAAAATGAGCATGCATGCTAGCATTCCCATTGTGGGACTTGAGGTCCAAGATATGGATTTGGGCTGCCCTTTTATTTTTTGATAATTGATTCTAAACAATTTGTAAACCCAAAAAGCTGGAAAACCACCATTTTTACTGCCTTAATGATATTTGACTTGGATATTTGGTTTTCTTCCTCCGGTACTCCTATTAATGGGCAGTGATTCATCTTTTCCCACCTCCAACCAATTCTTCTCTAGCCAGTACCTAAAACCCAATAGCAGAAAACAAATGACTATAACTATCCAAGTTTGAAATTTGAGTTCAAATAGATTGAACGTAATCGATCTAGTGACTCCAAGTCGAAAACTAAACATTCCAAGGTCCATGGCGAGTTGTATTATGACTAGTAGGAATAGAAACAAAACCGTGATACTCAAGGTAAAACCCAGACTACTCAAGGATTTCTCATAAAATTTCTGTAAAACAAGCGTTAAAATCAAGCAGATGAGATTTGCTATAAGATTTACCTTGGAGCCACATGGTCTATAGATGAATTCAAGACGACTCAAACGCCTCCAATTAGAGACCAAAACGGTTGAGATGATTGGGTAAGACAACTATGAACACTAAATTGGAACAAGCAAGATCATAGGAATCAAATCCAATAATAGCATATAAGCTAAGAAAGGAAACAAAAGATATTAGAAGGGAAAAAGGATCAACAAAGGATACAGAAGATATCAAAGGGGAAAGAGCATCTCCAATTATTACTCATAGTGCATAATTTAAAGAGAAATCAAGCACCAGTCACAAGCATTGTTTAAGACCAAAATTTTAGGCATATGCTTAGAATATCTTGTATATATATATATATATTAACATATGTATGCAGTGGTTCATTAGATTGAACACAATTTAGTATACTCAAAGTTCTCTCTTTTCTTAAGTTTTCTTCATGGTATTAGAGCCCAGATTTTGTCTTGGGAAACTCGTTGTTAACCCACTTGACAAGACCCAAAGTTGAAAATACTGGGCTTATATTTAAGGGGGCATGTTAACCCACGTGACAGGACCCGACAGTCATAACGGGCCTGCACATAAGGGGGCGTGTTAAGTGGGAAATCCGACATCAAGTATAAAATTAAGAAGTTTGTGAGTTAAATACAAGGAAGACCACTCCACTTATTGCCAATTGATTTTATGTTGAAAGCAAGCTTTGTGTTGAGCCCAAAAATTCACTTTCACATGTTAAGTGGGAAATCCCACATCAAGTATAAAAATAAGAAGTTTGTGGGTTAAATACAAGGAATGTCACTCCACCTATTGCCAATTGGTTTAAGTTGGATGAAAGCCTTGTCTTGAGCCCATGAGCACACTTTCACATGGTATCAAAGCCCAGATTTTGTGCTGAGAAGCCCGTTGTTAACCTACCTGACAAGACCCAAAGTTGAAGTTAGTGGACTTGCATTTAAAGGGGCGTGGTAAGCCACGTGACAAGACTTAACATTCATAGTGAGTTTGCACTTGAGGGGCTGTGTTAAGTGGGAAATCCCATATCGAGTATAAAAGTAAGAAGCTTGTGGGTTAAATATAACGAAGGCCACTTCACCTATTGCCATTTGGTTTTAGGTTTGATGCAAGCCTTGTGTTCAACCCACGAGCACACTATCACATGTTAAGTGGGAAATCTCACATCAAGTATAAAAATAAGAAGCTTATGAGTTAAATATAAGGAAGGCCACTCCACTTATTGCCAATTGGTCTTAGGTTGGATGAAAGCCTTGTGTTAAGCCTATGAGCACACTTTCACATGGTATCAATGCCCAGATTTTGTTTTGAGAAACCCGTTGTTAGCTTATCTGACAGGACTCGAAGTTAAAGATACTGGGCCTGCATTTAAGGGGGCGTGTTAACCCACGTGATAGGACTCGATATTCATAATGGGCCTGCACGTGAGGGGGTGTGTTAAGTGGAAAATCTCACATCGAGTATAAAAATAAGAAGCTTGTAGGTTAAATACAAGGAAGGCCACTCCACCTATTGCCAATTGGTTTTAAGTTGGGTGCAAGTCTTGTGTTGAGCACACGAGCACACTTTTACATGGTATCACAGTGTACTTTCTAGAATAAGAATTCAATTCTTTCATTTGTTCTATTAAAGGGTAGCTTACAACTTTTCTCCATTTGACAACCAAAACATAATTAAGGAGTTTTGGTCTAGTTTGAAACTACAATGTTATTCTTAGAAGTTAGAGTCCTTATTTTTTTCTTTATGGTAAGGTTCTTTATTATTCTATGTTAAAGGTATTTGGATGTCATTGTTTTCCATACCTTAGAGACTATGCCACAAACAAACTTCAACCTAGATCTTTACCTTGTGTGTTCATAGGATACAGTCTAATCCACAAAGGTTATAAGTGTTTGCATCCTACCACTCAACGTATAGACATATCTAGACATGTAGCTTTTGATGAATATTTTCTCCCATATACTAATCTCACAAAGATTACAAGTGATAATAGTGCAGATGGTGACCTTTGTCAATATCCTGACATTGATAATTGGGTGCAATGCTCATCCCATTTGCAAGCTGCTAAGAGGATAGATGAAGAGCAACTTGCTTTTGTGAGTTGTGACTAGTCAATGCACTTCAATTAGAAATACATGTACAGAAGAAGGATATAATACAATTTCCACTACTGTAAAGGTACTTGAATCAACCTCACCTCAAGGATCTAGCAATACAAATAGTAATTCCCCTCAAAACATACTAGAAGAAGCAAGTAATCTAGTAGGACCTGGATCAACTCATCTTGGAAATAACATCCATGAAATTGAGATGTGTAATTCACCAATATAGCTTGAACCTGATCACTCCCAACCTATACAGGGACCAAGTAGTTCTAATTCTCATTGTGAAGGGGTACCACCTCCACTTCCATTCACCCAATGACTACAAAAACAAATCAGGGAAACATACTGGACAAGTCCAAACTACTTTTCCTAAGTTTGCTCATTCTATGACTACTAATAATTATTCATTACATGGTGCAAAATTGGACATTTAGGAACCCAAATCAATTAAAAAGGAACTACAACTTCCTCACTAGACTAATGTTATGAAAAAAGAGCTAGATGCACTTCACAAGAATAACACATGGATATTAGTGCTTAGACCCTCATCACAAACAAATATTGTAGGCTCCAAATGGGTCTTCAAAACAAAGCTTCTCCCTGATGGAACAATAGACAGGTTTAAGGCAAGACTTTTAGTCCTGTTCTCAAGCCTACCACACTTCATTTGGTTGTTGCCCTTGCCACAATAATGTCATGGCCATTAAGACAATTAGATGTGAAAAATGCATTTTTACATGGGAAGTTCAAAGAGGAAGTCTACATGACCTAACCACCAGGTTTTGAAGACCCTTCACACCCTGAATATGTTTGCAAGCTTAATAAATTTATCTATTGTCTAAAGCAAGCTCCAAGGACATGGTTTGACACGTTCACACTGCAACTATTGAAATTAGGGTTCCATTGTAGCCAAGCAGACTCTTCTTTGTTTGTTCTTCATCATGGCTAAGATGTTATTTTGCTCTTATTGTGTGTTGATGACATAGTCCTTAGTGCCAGCTCACAGTTCTTGCTGCAACAAATAATTGATCATCTTGGCAATCAGTTTGCTTTAAAGGATCTTGGCCCACTTAGCTACTTTTTGGGGATTGAGGTCATTGAATTTTCAGGGGGCATATTTTTATCACAAGCTAAATATGCCAAAGATATTCTGACTCAAACCCACATGTTTGCAACAGCATCCATTGCCACTCCATTGGCAACGAAGGACACTTCTACTTTAAAGGATGATGATCTGGTTGATGCAATTGAGTACAGAAAACTTGTTGGTGCATTACAATATTTGATAATTACCAAAACTGATATTTGTCATGTTGTGAATAGAGTTTGTTAGTTCATGCAATAGCCTACATTTGCTCATATGCGTCAAGTTAAATGTATTTTGAGATACATAAAAGGAACCATACACCATGGACTACGCTTCTCCTCTCACAGCACTCTCTCACTCACAGGGTTTTGTGATGCTGATTGGGCCGGTTGTCCAATTACAAGATGAAGCACTACTAGCTACTATGTTTTCCTTGGAGCAAATTGCATCTCATGGTCTTCTAAGAAGCAACCTACCATCGCTCGCTTTACTGCTAAAGCAGAATATCGAGCCTTAGCTGCTACTACAATTGAAATTGTTTAGGTTACCTATCTTCTACATGATATTGGGGTTTCACTTTATTCTCCTCCTCAAATTTTTTCAGATAATATTAGTGCTTTACATATGTCTATAAATCTTGTGTTTCATGCTCCTGCAAAACACATTGAATTGGATTATCACTCTGTTAGAGAAAAAGTAGCACTTGGTACACTAGTAACCAGATATATTCCCAGCAATGATCAAATTGCAGACATGCTTACAAAACCGCTTCCACACGCCCAATTTCCGTTGTTAAAGTTCAAACTGGGTTTGATTGAGTCACCTTATGCCAGTTTGAGGAGGAGTATGAAGACTAAGTCAAAACAAGCAAGATCACAGGAATCAAATCCAACAACAACAAATAAACTAAGAAAGGAAACACAAGATGGTAGAAGGGAAAAAGGATCAGCTAAACATACAAAAGATATCAGAAGGTAAAGAGCATCTCTAGCTATTACTCATAGTGCATAATTTAGGAAGAAATCAATAAATAGTCACAAGCAACATTCAAGACAAAAATTCTAGGCATATACTTAGAATATCTTGTATATATATACTAACATATGTATGCAGTGGATCATTAGATTGAACACAGTTCAGTATGCTCAAAGTTATCTCTTTTCTTAAGTTTTCTTCAACAACGCCGTTTTGATCCTGGTGCTATTATGTTCTGCTTATAACCTGGTATTCCACACAAAAAGTGTTGCAATAAACAGAGCAATTTGAGCGAAGAGAATGGCGATGGCGAACCATTCTCCGCACTTTTGAGGAGATGCATTCTCAAAGCTTCTAATGGATTCGTCATCTTCTGTAGTATGCGGGAAATATTGCGAAGAAGAGATCATACAAGATGAAAATTAAATTGATTTGAGGAGAAATGAGCTTCGCAAGAAGATTGTTTGATCAATTTATAAACGAACAGCAAGTCTGTGGAAAACAGATATTACCTTAATACAGAGGGAAACTGTTCTGCACTTCTCTTCTGCAAAAGCTTTCTTCCTCTTTTGCGCCTTTCGTAGAAAGTCTCGCACGTCCTTGTGATCCTTCGTTTTTCAAATGCAATTAATGGACCGGATTTGTCCGCTATCAGAAATAAATGGACCCAAAAACAGCCCAATTGTTATTTTAGTATGAAACGGACCTAACAAAAGTCAATAGTTAAAATTACGAAAACGGGCCTTCCTCTTGTCTTGTGACTAGTCTTCTAGTTACAGGTTGGAACTTGGGAGCTTGGAAAATGGTAATTAATGGGCATATTTTCTAACAAAATGTTCAACAAACATGTTAACGTTTAAAAAAAAAGAAAGAAAAAAAAAATTCTATAAGGACACATAAGGTACAAACTTTTTTTCATAATTAATTTTTGTTAAAAGTAT